TAAACATACTCATATTACTACCACTTAAACTATATTATTCTATGTCTAACAGTTCTTAACTTACTGTTAATGAATACTAGGACTATTACTATTAGTAACACTATAGTATAATTACTTGTACTGTAGACTAGTTGTAGTTGCAAGTTACATATTTTAATCATTCACGATCATCCTGAAGATAAACTGGCTTTCAATATACTTTTTAATAAAAAACTTATTTACTTTTGTTACTATTAAACATGATGGTCGTAAATAGTACTCTCAAGGAAAAAAAAAAAAACCTAAAAAATAAATTACCCAGTTAAATTCTCCATGCTGTATCAGATGCATCAACCGCCATGTTGAACCTTAAATCCCAATGTCCCTTGCGTGATTTTATTCAAACAATTATTTGAAAAATGCATTATTCACCGATAGCATAACGTCTCTCGAAACCTATTAATATATAAATACATTGTAAAGCATTGTTGGTGAAACTTTTATTTATTATTATTTTTTTTACAAGAAAGTGTATTACAAGTAACAAGCTTCGCAACTAATTACATGTTTGGGGTTTCTTTTTTTTTTTACATCCAAGCGACTAGCCGGTTCAATTATAACTGATAATTTTAAATATACGCAATACGTAGTTGGGTCTCCTGTAGTATGTTTGCCCCAAATCCATTAAAACCTCATCTGAGGAAATGTTTGTGTTTGATATCTGTTCCTAGTATGCATCTAGAAACATTTCAAATTTGTTAATCACCATCCAGGACTAGCGCCGTAATAGACTAAAAAAGGCACCGCTACAACTTGGGTCGATCAAAAAAAACAACAAAAAATGATTAAACTGTAGCAACAGAAATCTAAAATAAAACTGTCAAATAATTGGAATACAAATTTTATCACTTACTAAAAAATTAATAAACCAGGATTTAATACAAACGTTAATAAACAATACGATATCAATATCATTAATTTCAATAAAAAAAAAAGAAATTAACAAAAAGAACAAAAAGATGAAAAAGCCCAATTAAAAAAAAAAAACACACACACAATAATCCAAAATTAAACCACTTCATGAAGAATAACACCATCGAGTAATAATTAGTACTAATTTGCTCTAACAATATCTCGTGATTATCAAAAAAGGGTTACGTAGTTAGTTCTTCTCGACTGGGGGCTACTCCAGCCATTCGAAACGAAGATAACAAGAAATAGCCCTATTAGTAAAAGGAAAGGGACATTAAATTTTTAGGTTGTTAGTTATTACGAAGTTATAAATCGCCGAATAGAGATAATCAGTAGTTAACAGAAAGAGGTAGGTAAGAGGGACTTAAACGATACACATCTGTTGTTTTTTGGCTGCTCGATCTCTTTGGTAATATATGCAATCCATGATAATGTGTTCCGGATTTTCAAAATTTGAGCAATCGCTGCATTCACCATTGGGATGTGTTTTAATTTTGTAGAGATGTCCATTTAGACCTGTGCAATTAAACCTGAGGAGTGTTATGATAATTTCTTGGCGTCTATTCGTACATGCATACTTGATGTGAGAAGAAACAACAGGAACAATTTTCTTATATATATTTGATTGTTTCACTGAATTCCATCTGTACTGCCAGGAATCTAAAATGAATTTATCGACTTGGCCATAGAGGTCACCAATTTCAACAGAAACGTTTGTGACCCCAGGATATGTTAACGCATCCTTGGCAAGATGATCAACAACCTCATCTCCCTGGATTCCCACATGGCTAGGGAACCAGAGAAATTTGATGACAATACGGGGGCATAAACGGACAAGGCATGTAAATACTTCATTCAGTAACATTGGATTAGATGAAAAGGAACCGTTCTTAATCGAAATTAATGAACTTAAAGAGTTACTAACTATCAGAGCTTTCGTAACATCTGAATCTTCTAGCCATAGAAGTGCTTGTAGGATAGCAAACAGTTCAGCCTTCATTCCATGAGGAACCCACTTTGAGACTAATAATGGCTGGAGACGGCTTGAATGGTTAATGAAGAAAAACTTTAATATAAGTTTAACATAGCAGCAAATGTACAACGTTTCGACAAAGTTTTGTCATCATCAGGTAAGAATTGTGTAAGAATATTGTTACGTCTCCGTTTGTTAATTGATTTTCCGTAACTTCGTTCCGACGAAACTTTAGCGACA